TTTGGACTTGGAGTGTGTGCATATGAGGAATGTCTCTGTGCGCACACGCACGTGTCGACTTGGAGGGCTTGCGTAGGATGAATTTCTTTGTGCGCACACCTGCGCATGCACGTTTGGACCTGGAGTGTGTGCATATGAGGAATGTCTCTGTAAGCAGGTGTGCGCACACGCACGTGTCGACTTGGATGGCTTGCATATGATGAATGTCTCGGTGCGCACACCTGCGCATGCACGTTCGGACTTGGAGTGTGTGTGTGTGTGTGTGTATATGCTGAATGTCTCGGTGCGCACACCTGCACATGTACGTTGGGACTTGGAGTGCGTGTATCTAATGAATGTCTCTGTACGCAGATGTGCGCACACGCACGTGTCGACTTGGAGGGTTTGCATATGATGAATATCTGTATGCGCACACCTGCCCATGCACGTTTGGACTTGGAGTGGGTGTATATGATGAATGTCTCTATGCGCACACCTGCGCATGCACGTTTGGACTAAGAGTGGGTGTATATGATGAATGTCTCTCTGCGCACACCTGTGCATGCACGTTTGGACTAAGAGTGTCTTCATGCACGTTTGGACTAAGAGTGTGTGTATATGATGAATATCTCTGTGCGCATACCTGCGCATGCATGCGTCGACTTGGAGTGGGTGTATATGATGAATGTGACTTGGAGTGTGTATATATGAGGAATGTCTCTATTCGCATACCTGCGCATGCACGCGTGGACTTGAAGTGGGTGTATATAGGATGAGTGTCTGTATGCGCACACTGCGCATGCATGCGTCGACTTGGAGTGTGTGTATCTGATGAATGTCTCAGTGCGTACACCTGCGCATGCACGTTTGGACCTGGAGTGTGTGCATATGAAGAATGTCTCTGTGCGCACACGCACGTGTCGACTTGGAGGGCTTGCATAGGATGAATGTCTGTGTGCGCACACCTGTGCATGCACGTTTGGACCTGGAGTGTGTGCATATGAGGAATGTCTCCGTAAGCAGGTGTGCGCACACGCACGTGTCGACTTGGATGGCTTGCATATGATGAATGTCTGTGTGCGCACACTGCGCATACACGTTTGGACTCGCACACCTGCGCATGCATGCGTGGACTTGGAGTGTGCGCATGCATGCGTGGACTTGAAGTGTGTGTATATGATGAATTTCTCTGCGCAGATGCATGTGTGGGCTTTGAGTGTGTATATATGAAAAAATGTCTACGTGCGCACACTGCGCATGTACGTTTGGACTTGGAGTGTGTGTATGTGATGAATGTCTCAGTGCGTACACCTGCGCATGCACGTTTGGACTTGGAGTGGGTATATCTGATGAAGGTCTGTATGCGCACACCTGCGCATACACGTTTGGACTTGGAGTGGGTGTATATGATGAATGTCTCTTGGAGTGTGTGTATATGATGAACGTCTCTATTCGCATACCTGCGCATGCACGCGTGGACTTGGAGTGGGTGTATCTGATGAATGTCTGTGTGCGCACACCTGCGCATGCACGTGTGGACTTGGAGTGGGTGTATATGATGAATGTCTCAGTGCGTACACCTGCGCATGCACGTTTGGACTTGGAGTGCGTGTATCTGATGAATGTCTGTGTGCGCACACCTGCGCATGCACGTTTGGACCGGGAGTGCGTGCATATGAGGAATGTCTCTGTGCGCACACGCACGTGTCGACTTGGAGGGCTTGCATATGACGAATGTCTGTGTGCGCACACCTGCGCATGCACGTTCGGACTTGGAGTGTGTGTATAGGATGAATGTCCGTGTGCGCACACCTGCGCATGTACGTTTGGACTTGGAGTGTGTGTGTGTGTGTATATGATGAATGTCTGTATGCGCACACCTGCACATGCACGTGTCGACTTGGAGTGGGTGTATCTGATGAATGTCTCTATGCGCACAGCTGCACATGCATGCACCCAGAGTGTGTGTATATGATGAATGTCTGTGTGCGCACACCTGCGCATGTACGTTTGGACTTGGAGTGTGTGTATATGATGAATATCTCTGTGCGCACACCTGCGCATGCATGCGTCGACTTGGAGTGTGTGTATATGATGAATGTGACTTGGAGTGTGTGTATATGATGAATGTTCGACGTGGAATGTGTGTATATGATGAATGTCTGTATGCGCACACCTGCGCCTTTGGACTTCGAGTTTCTGTACATACTGAATGTCTGTGTGCGCACACCTGCGCATGCACATTTGGTCCTGGAGTGCGTGTATTTGATGAATGTTTCTGATGCGAAGCGGACCCTTCGGATCGTGATTCTGCCCATCTGGGACGCAACGTGGAAGTATCGTGGCTGCTTCGAGGCACGCCTATCCGTCCGTCAGGTGCGCAGAGAGGCCACATGGATGAATGGATGGATGAATGTATGCATGACGCATATGTGTGCACACACGCCTGCCTGTCTATCTCGCCTATCTGTCCCTTCGCCACTGTGGGCTTCCCCGCAGCCCAGTGTCCGTGTCAGTCGCCCTTTATATGCAGTGCACAACCTGTGTCTATTCTGTGCCTGTGCCGTGCGCATGCGTAGAGAGAGATACATGCTTGTGTGACTGACTCGTGTGTATCCTCGCTATTCGCCTATGTTATGGTGCATTCACGGTGGATACATGTGGGTATGACAAGGAGAAGTAGAGGAGAAGACGGAGATGCTCGTACACGCCAGTGTGTCTGTCTGCCGTGATGTGTTGTGTTTGCCATTGCTTGTCGCAGTAGTGTGTTCATGGAGCCACCGGCAGCCAGGCATACATGCAGTGCAAGTGAGGTCTATGTATGATGCATAGCCGATAGCCGACTGGTTGCTTCGTTTGTTGAGCTGCATGCATGATCGTCGATCACTGGCTGCTGGGGTTGACAAGCCCTTTAGCCGTACAGCTCGCTTACCAGAAAGATCCGGCTTTGCCCAGCTTGATTGCGTTGCGTATTCGCTTCATCGGCCTTCGGCAGCGTGTTTGCATCCTCGTGTTGCGTCGTTCGTGGACCTCGTGGACCCGTGTGCATCGTCGTGGTGTTCCGTGCGCGTGTGCATCGTCGTCTTCGTGTGCATCTTCGTCGTCGTGTTCATCTTTCAAGAGCTTATCTCCCACGTCACCCGTCGGAGCGAAGTCACCTTCCCCATCATCCCACTCGTGAGCCACACACTGCGTGTCCGAGTGTGTGTCTCACTCGCGATCTAGAGCAGGCAGTGAGTCAGCTCTGTATTGAGACAGCCACCCCCCGCCTCTCACTGTCTGTCTTTTGAACGGGCGGTGGCGCGAGCAGCCCCTCTCTTGTCCTCTTCCATTCGCCGCTACCCTACTTCGCCGTTGCTTATACTCGACAGTCACAGATAAGCCACTCAGACAGGCCAGAGAGGAGCCGTTCGTATCAATACGCACACGTGCGCACAGAGACATTCATCATATACGCACACTCCTAGTCCAAACGTGCATGCGCAGGTGTGCGCACAGAGACATTTATCATCTACACACCCCGCAAGTCGACGCGTGCATGCGCAGGTGTGCGGACATAGACATTCATCATATACGCACACTCCAAGTCGATGTGTGCATGCGACAGAGACATTCATCATATACGCACACTCCAAGTCGTCGCGTGCCTGCGCAGGTGTGCGCATACAGAAACATGCATCATATGCACGCACTCCAAATCACTGCGCACAGAAACATTCATCATATGCACACACTCCTAGTCCAAACGTGTATGCGCAGGTGTGCGCACAGAGACATTTATCATCTACACACACTGCAAGTCGACGCGTGCATGCACAGGTGTGCGCACATACACACACTCCACGTCGACACGTGCATGCCCAGGTGTACGCACAGAGACATTCATCATATACGCACATACTCCACGTCCAAACGTGCATGTCGACATGTCCGCCATTTGCCCACCTCATGACCACGTAGATGAAGTCTTGGTTTCGCCAGATTTCAAGCACGTCACAGAGGTTCCTATGGCTGCATCTTCAGCTTCTCGCACACACATGGGGCTGCAGGCGTCATGAGCCATCTGGTGGGTGACAGCCGGCGCCAGAGGATGGGCGAAAGGGGGGAGAGAGGGGGAGGCTGCGGGAAAATGTCATGTGCTATGGACAACTCCGGGGTGGCTGGTTGTGTGTCAGCATGCTGACTTGCAATGGATGGGTCCGCCTCGTCTTGAATTTGGATGGGCACTGAGGTGCAAAGACAACATCGATAATGGGAAAAATTAGCGGACGGCTCCAGAGAAGAAGGAAGGCAGTCCGCATCAACGGAGAGGGGGAGGGGGACAGGGCAAGCGGCGTGGCCGTGTGTTGCTGCAGGGCGTACAGACAGCTGACGGACCGGCACAATATCGACACAGGGCGGCCCGCCAGCCATCAACCAAGCTCTGCTGCCCACCCACCCAGCGGCCATAGTTAGACAGGGCCGACTGCACATGGCTGTTCGGCCAAGTCAGCAGCCGAAATAACGAAAAAGAGGTGGCCGGAGCAGCAGCAGAAGAGACTGGCTGGTCGCCTGGTGACGGCAGGCTGGGAGGCGAGGGCATGGGGAAGAGGGCCGAGCCTGGTCAGGAGGTGGCTCAAGCAAGGGCGCGCTGGACGTGACGAAGCAAAGACTCTCGGTTGCCATAGGTGTGCACGTCGGGAAAGAAGCTGTTGGTTGGTTGGTTATTGTGTTTAACGAGACTCGTGTCTGTAACCTCGAAGGGATCCTGTCGTCTCACGCACTAAACTAGCAGCATGTACATGCAAAGCATGCACACGGCCTGTCTACCCCTCCCTACACTGGCACCGGCGGACAAACAGATGGCAACAGAGAGCACTGCCTGCCTTGTAGAACGTTGACAAACACCGATTCCGGCTACATACACAAGAACGGGCGCTGTCGCCCAGCAAGAGCCATGGCAAGTGTACAGCTGTGCGTTCCAGGCGGCAGGCAATTCCGCCCAAGCTCGCAGCTAAGCTCGCAGCGCATCATGGGACTAGGCCGGTGGCCACTCCGCCCTTCCGTGAATCCGTGCAGCAATCCCGAATCGAAGGCACTCTTCCCTAGCCTGGTTCATACACCCCTCTGCTTCTTCTGCCCTGCTTCCAGATCTCTTCTCTCCGTTCGTCTTTTCTTGAAAAGATGGCCTCGGTAAGCAAAGCACGATGCAAGAGGAAGGTGAGCGCAGACGAGGAGATGGAAAAAGCGTGTGTGCGCTCTGATGCTTGCATTCCTTCATGCAGAAGGAGGAGCCAACTCACAGCACTGCACTCCCCTTTCGGCTGATGACGGCGGCAGTGCTATGGGTTCTCTCCTGTGTCCTTGTGCCTGGAGCGGCCAGCACCGCGAGGTCAGCAGCCTTTCTCCATCCCCGAGGGTATCACAAGGCGACGCTGGGCAAGTGGCAGAGGGCAACGTCGGCACGTCGGCGCTTGCCTGTGCGTCCTGTTCGCATTACGAGCCCAAAGGCGACGACGTCAAGCAAGAAGAGAGAAGAGGGTGAGCGAAAGGAGGTTGGGGCGGAGAGGGGCACAGCTGGCGGGTGCCACACGTACGTCTGCATGCATTGGAGCCCTGCGTGCGTGCGTGTGTGTGTGTGTGTGTGTGTGCAGCTGAGCGAAGGGAAATTACCATTGCAGACTTATTACGCCTCCAGCAACTCAAAGATCGGAGACCCCCAGTGGAGGGTGTGCCATCTATTAATCTTGGTCCAAGGGACCCTCCTGTCTTCATCGGCCGTGACGCGCAGCTGAAGGACGCGATGCAGAAGGTCATGCAGTGGTACGAGGCACGGCCTGAGGACTATGGCGACTCTTTTCGGATCCCCCCGATGTCGCTCACTCGATATGGTACGCGTTCAAGGCGAGATGTGGCGAACATGAAAGTGCACTGCTCCTCTATTGTGCGTGTGTGCTCGCATTGCAGTGCGTGGAGGAAAGACGCGCATGCTGAAGGAGATCGGGCAAGAGCTGCTCGCCAAGGGGATCCCTGCCATCTACGTGACCTTCAACGACATCACCACCGCCAGTCGCTGGGAGAGAGACAACGAACCGCCACCTTTACAGCGGCTGCTTTCGCGGATCGGCTGGGCGGTGGCCACCGATGAGGCGAGGGGGCTTGTGGACAACAATTTCAACACGTGGACGGCAACGATGGACGTGTCGGAAGACACAGTGGCGGACTGGTTGGGTCAGCACGGTTGCGTGCTCTTAATTGACGAGCTGAACAAGCTGATTACCAACGTCCAAGGAGGCAAGCCTGGGGAGGCCGTGGCTGGCTTTCTCAAGGACAGCTTCATCGACAGACGGAACCGCTACCTCATCTTTTCCAGTCATTCTACCGCTACGGGCAACAAGCTGGCCGTGTTCATTCAAAGCCCAAGTGATCGTCACGTCGTTCGGCCTAGCCTGCCAGTGATCACGACGCCAGACGAGGCCACATGCATCAACCAGGCTGCTAGGAAGGGAGCGGTCTGCTATCTTGGGCTGACACCCGCTCTGGTGCATGAAGCCTACAACGAGATGGGCGGCAGTGTTCATGATTGCGCCAAGGATACCTTCAGCCGACTCGCGGCACCACCTCTCGATACAGCAACGGTGGAATGCGTCATTATGATGTCCCTCGAGGGGGACATGCGGTGGGTGGAGGGCCTTGCCGAGTGGTCACAGGCGCTGGATGCGTTTGTTGGTGGTCCAGTCGGCACGGACATCTCACACACCTGGCCCCCATGCTTCCTCGCGGCCGCCTGTGATCGCCTGTCTCGCGCTACCCGCACGGACATCACACTCGGTGTTCGTCAGGGAACGGGACTCATTCGCGATGGCCTCCGACAGCTGGCTGAGGCGGATGACCGCTCCGGCAAGCAGTGGGAGGGTGCTTGTCAGGCAGCCATCATCCAACGGATGCTGCAGAGCGACTTGATGGGTGTCCCGCGGCCTGGTCCGACCCTTTCTGACAAAGCCAGACAGCTGCTGCCCCCTTGCATTCTTGATGGTGCGTAAAACAGATGCACACACGGGCACAAGAGGTCCTCCCGGCTGTTGGCCAAACTTGTTGCCTCTCTGCGTGTGGGTCTGTCAGGACTGTGTTCATTCGGAGGCACTTTTGAGCCCACTGGTTTCGGAAGGCCTCTCATTCGGCCGGATCGCACCGCGGACATCCCGTATCTTCGCGAGCTGGTTGAACGGGAGGCGGCACGCAAGGGGCTTCATCAAGGCCAAACATCTCTCTTCGTGAGGCCCGCCGTGAGCGACTTCCCCGCGTATGATTTCTTTATCTTCATCTTGAACAACGGCCGGGTGGAGGAGATTTGGGGCTACCAGTGCAAGACAGGCAAGGAGAAACCCTCAGATGAGCAGACGCGCGCCCTGACCGATGAAGTGGATGTGTCAGTGTGGCTGAAGGGGGAGGCGGGATCGAGGCAGACTCGGTCGCAGTATGGGTACATCATCGCGTCTCGAGCAGCCATTGAAGACTTGTTTGGCTTCAGTCTCAGGCGCACATGCCCCCTCCGCTGGCTGCTAGACCCGAGGGTGTGGGTTGACTAGCGGTGTCTGTCGGCGTGTATGTGTTTGTGTGCGTGCGTGTGTGGTGGGTCTGTGCGGCTGTTGGTGCACATTACGTGGGCAAATCGATGGGATTTCTTTGGCTCGCGGGCACGCTTCATGTGTCAAGTGATGGAAATGGACTTGCATTTACCATGTTGCGAGGGCGGAAGCTGCCTTTCTCCGTCAGCCTCAGCAGTAGGTAATCGTACCAGAGGTCCATCCGACACACACGCCACCCCACTCTATTTCACCAGGCGCGCTAAGCTAAGAGGGAAAAAGCCAAAAACGTATGGATACATCGATAGAGAGACGCCATATTCTTGCTTTCTTTCAGTCCGTCAAGCACATACGTATATACACGTCACGGCAAGAATGACTGGTTCGGGTTTCTTACCCTACGTACACATCTCAGGCCCACACACAGACACACACGCCGACAAGACACATGCAACAGCCACGCATCAACCGCCGAATCAGCCAGCCAACAGCCAACCGACGCAACCAGGAAACGCACATGTGTGTGTCTCACCATCTCTGCACGCACACGCGTGAATCGGTGCATGAAGGAGGGCTGAATGTCTGCATTGTAATGTATTGCGGCGCAGCTATGTACGTCGGGACAGGCACATTGCACACACGGACATACACACTCACATTCTCACGCATGGCCGTCCTTCGTGTGCGCTGTACTGGTATGCTGCAGAGACGAAGTTGTGGATCAGGACCAGCCCAAGTTGAGCGTGCTCCACCTCGACGCGCCAAACTATAGCAGCATGAGACTGGGACGTGACGTAAAGATACATATGCACACATAGCGAATGGATGCATATCATACGTCCGTTTGTTTGTTTGGGCATCCATTCATTCAGACCTCATGCAGGGGCGGGCGAGCGGGCGTCCTCTGGGTTGGTCGTAACCAGGGACAGGCATGTCTGTCTAGGTATCTACTTGCACAGACAGATGTATGTATGTGTGTGGACGGCACACGCACACAGGTCATGCTGTCTGTCTGTCTGTCTGTTTGCAGACAGATTTAACCTACCTACATGCATGTGTCTGTAGGTGTCTGTCTCCCAATGATTGAGTCGGTGATTTCTCGGCTGTTTCTCCTCCTTTTCGGATGAGGGAGCGTGTGTCGGACTACACCCAGCCCCCTCCAGCGACCCTCATCCCGCGAGACGGCGGCGGGCTCCCCTGTTGCGCATGCAACGCGAAAGGGAAGCCTGCGCTGTCCACATGCAGCCGAGGATGTGACTGCCGGGAGAACAAGCGCCTCTGCACTGACTGTGTCAACTGCAAGCGCGGCACGAGCACGAATTTTGTGTATCCCGCGGCCCCAACCGTTTGCGATGATGATGTGCGAAAAGGCCGGTGAGGACCTTTCCTGTAGTTAGCTGAATAGAGGATCTGCTGGGCGGTAAGTCCCAGAGTAAGAGTGCTTTTACTTTAATAAGACCGATGGACTGGCCAGTCAGTCAAAGTTGATTCTGTCCATGTATGGCATCAT